TGCTGGCTCATCCACTAGCCAGAAGAGTTCTCCCTGTCTAGGTGCGACCAGAGCTGCTGGAAGTGCAGGGCCTTCTCCACCCTCCAATACTTGCTACAAAATTACAGAATCAAAACTTAAACAGTAAGAATATTAAACTAATAAAACAAAAATATAACATTCACAATTATAAATATAGACACATCAGAAAGTGCTTACCTTGAGTACAGGAGCTTTGCTGCCCCCAGTTGACACAAACACTACACATCGAGCAGCGTTAACTGTGGGTAATGTCATAGTGATACGCTGAGGCGGTGGTTTGGGGGAATCAGAGATGGGTGCCACTGTCCTCTGGCTTTCCTACAAAATCAAATTTTTACTTACACACACATACTTAAACACAAATCCATTTCAAAACAGATAAAGGGTCAATAGGAGAATCAATAGGATTCTGTAATAAGTGGTATATATGGTAAACTAAAAGTAGATGTTATATTGTTGCTTCATTAAGAATTTATCTGAAACCTGTAATAAAGGATGATCTGGAAAGAGAGAGCAGGTGTGTCCATCTGGTCCCATTCCCAGCAACAGCATGTCAAAAACTGGGATTTGCTCCGTGTTAAAAGCCTACAATGACAACATTCTATTAGGGGCTATGAATTAGAAAAACAAAAATCAAATGTGTTTTATGTAATGTCTAGAAAACGAAATCGCACCTTGCTCAGTTTGCCAGCATAGTCATCAGCACATTCTTGCACCGGTAAAGAAGGATCTATAGCCAAAATCCTATCTTCTGGAATGTTGATTTTCTCAAACAATTGATTCTGTAGGATATAAAAAGCTATCAGTAATCTTAGTTTTCACATGACATGATCACACCCTTATAGAAATGCCCACCTGGAAAGCAAGGCAAGGTCTTTCTCTGCTTTTACCGGGTTTGTACTAAATACAGTGACATTAAAAGACCAAATAAAGGCAAGCAAATGCATCAAGAATATGAATGCAACATTTTCCCATAGAAAGTCATTATAGACAAATTGCTTAGTGTGGCTTGATGCTTCAAGACAGTGATATGGGAGGACCAAATTCATTATAGATCTTATTAATAAAACATACTAAGTACAAACAGATGAACACATAATATGAATGCAAGGTTGAAGTGTTTTCCCAAATAAAACTATTATAAAGAAAACGCTTAACATTGTGTTAATATTCTGAGCTCATCTGCTTGCCAGTATATAGCATGTATCATCAATAAGGTGTATATTAAAATTTGATCTTTTAATATCTATAATAGCACTTCCTCCGGTAAAATCCATCCATTAATGCCCTATCACAATAAAATCTACCGACATATCAGTTTAGAACTGTTTTCACTTATGCATGATCTGTGCATATTTCTCTCCTGATTCAGATGAGATTTTTCACTAGAGAAAGGAATATAGGATAGGACTCATATTTTAGCCAGAAACTGGATTTGTGTGGATTATTGTGATGTTTTCATCAGCTGTTTGGTCTGACGGCACTCATTCACTGCTGAGGATCCACTGGTGAGCAAGTGATGTAATGCTAAATTTCTCCAAATCTGTTCCCATGAAGAAACAAACTTACCTACATCTAGAATGGTCTGAGGGTGAGTAAAGTTTCACTTTTGGGTGAACTATTTGTTTTAGAATGTCCCTCTGTTTTTAGTGAATTAACTACTCGGGAGGTGCTGTATATGGATTGCAAGGGGCCTAAACTTGCAGTTTGTTCACATATCTTTGACTCAATTATTTTGAGGGGTGATCTAAATACTTGTGACCTGAAACAAAAATTGACAGGCCTGTGCTGCAGTTCTACAGATGTTTTACCTCCAGGTCTCTGTGTCATGTGACTGAAAACTATGAATGGACTTGATTAGCTCTACAGGTTTCTAATATGCACCGAGTTACCTTATATAAGCCATAAGTGCTCTCAGGATCACTGAATGGAACGAGTCTCTCATCGCAGAACCCAATGAGCCATCTGCTGCAGTCTAGGCTCAGGACAGCAGGCAGCTCCTTACTCAGGATGGACACCAAACTCCCTCCTGAAAGGCCCAGGGAGAAGCTTTCACCTGTGCTGAGAGCTTTCTCTGCTCGAGAGGACACCAGCTGGGCCAGAGTGGATCCAAGCTCAGCCACTGAGGGGAAAACCACCACTCTTGGTCCAGACATCACTCCCTGAAATAAACAGAGGTGATGATTATGCCAATCAGTTCAAATATGAAGCAATGCTTAAGTCAACTGACAGAGCAGAACTCAATACCAGAAAAAGGAAACAATAAATAAGTCATCTGCCCTCTGCAATACAGGTGCTGTGAACAATGTGCACTGTTTCATTGGATTGAGCAGTGCAGGTTTGAGTCAAACGAATCAAGCAAGTATTGAACCAAAATGTGAGCCATAGTTTAAGTGCACTAAGCAATAATAACACGTCAAAATGATGCTTCGTGCTTTTACACTTGTGGTAGCTGTAAAAACTACGAAATTATTGTGCACTCACCGTGGAATGTTTTCTTACTAGTGATATTTCCTTTACGTGCTCCTCGTGCGACCTGACCTGACAAACATCCAATCGCAGCGAACGCTGCCTACGCTAGCGTCTACTGTTGCATTCTGGGTAATGTAGTGCTCAATTGATTCAAGCCCCGTTTCTAAATATTCGGTGGATTTCAGGGCCTCGGGAGTCTCAAGTTGGATCTTGTCGATTAGTTTTACTTTGGAGTATTGAAGCACGCACATTTCATTATGCAGTGACCATTATACAGCATCGTCACAATATGTATGGAAAAGAATCGCAATTTATCTGTGACTATTATATGTTTTGGGAGCCGAAACATTTTGTCTATGGACGCAAAAATACATTATATCAGCAGTAAATAATCGAAAATTAGATTGATAACATATTAGTCTGGTTTTGTGAAACTCGCACTCAAACAGCTCCATTTCAATAGATGGCGTTGGTGAGCCATATTCTGGGTAAATCATTCACACTGAGCTACACGTACAAGAAATAGTAGGAGCCTAGGAGGGAACCGTTGCTGAAAGATGAAATCTGTAGAAAAAAATGATTTAATATTAATATTATTACGTTAAAATATACAACTAGATAAAGTATATAGATAGCAGTTGATTTTGTATATCTGTAAAAAAAAAAAAGTTTGTGACTTCCTTTCGATAGTTTGTGGAAATATTGGGAGATGGTGTCCACTCTCTCCTCTTTTCAGACTCAGTTAGCGTCCATCATGGAAACACTTGTGCAAACAGCTGTATTAGAGATAAGCAAACTCGTGGATGTGGAGTGTGCAGTGTTGTTGTCGGAGGTCACCCGCAGCCGCAGTGAAATCAGCGCACTGAGGAAGACACTGAGGCTGATGGAGGTCCAGCGGTGGACGAGCACTGGACAAACACTGACAGAGAGTCTCACATCTGTTAAGAGGTAGGTCCACTTTTCTTTGGTGTTTATTTAGCATGGAATTGCACTTTATACTTTATAACACACGTATATGCATCTCTATATTTAGCATAGTATATGTGCAACTTTATGCCAGTCTCATAACATATGAAGCCGTGCTGAATAATGTCCACAGTGAAGTCAATAAACCATACTAATTTAATTTATACACTACCGTTTGGAATAGTTAGGATTTTTAAATGTTCTTGAAAGACGTCTCTTATGCTCACCAAGGCTGCATTTATTTGATCAAAAATACAGCAAAAACAGTAATATTGTGAAATATTATTGCAACTTATAAATTGCTTTTTTTCTGTTTTAATATATTTTAAAATATAATTTATTCCTGTAATCAAAGTTGAATTTTCAGCATCATTACTCCAGTCTTCAGTGTGACATGATCCTTCAGAAATCATTCTGATATGCTGATTTGCTGCTCGAGAAACATTTATTATTATTATCAATGTTGACAACAGTTGTGCATCTTAATATTGTTTTGTGAAAACCATGATACCCATTTAAAGGTTTGGGGTAAGAAAGATTTTTTTAAAGAAATGGATACTCCGTAAGCCAGGATGCATTAAATAGTTCAGAAGTGATAGTAAAGACATTTATGATGTTAAAAAGATAATTATATTTAAAATAAATGCTGTTCTTTTGAACTTTATAATAAGAAATGTTTCTCGAGCAGCAAATCAGCATATTAGTATGATTTCTGAAGGGTCATGTGACACTTAAGACTGGAGTAATGATGCTGAAAATTCAGCTTTGCATCACAGGAATAAATTACATTTTAAAATATATTCAAATAGAAATCATTTATTTTAAATTTTAATATTTTTTCACAATATTACTGTTTCTACTGTATTTTTGCTCAAATAAATGCAGCCTTACTGAGCATAAGAGACTTCTTTCAAAAATTTTCAATAATATTAATTATTCCAAAGTTTTGACCACTAGTGTATAACACTTTTTTATATTATTTTTCTAGTGAATGTGACCAAGAGGAGATGCACAATCGTTTGAACAGGTGTAGAGGCCAAACAGGAGACATCCCAACAGTAATTCAGCAAGACCAAGCAAGTTCTCTTCTCTCCGTAAATATCCATATTAATTGCCTTTAAGTATTTGTAAGCTGTAGTTTGATAAACAGTTTGATTCATGTGGCATCAGATCAGCATTAAATACAAAGTCATGTCTGAAAACAGCGAAACTTGTTCTATCTATTTATTTACTTATATTTATTGATTGCATTAAACACCAGGATATTTTCATGTTTTTTTTTTGTGAATGTGTGATGTTGTTTTATTGGGAAAACTGATGTTTTATTGAAGAAAAAAAACTTTGATGTTCTTCCATCATTCCAAAAGGCAAATCTGATCGTATTATTAAAATAAATATACTCTTGTTCTTTTCGTGGTCGTATAAATCTAATATAGGGGGAGACCGGGGAGTGTTGTAACATGGGCTTAGTTGTAACACTGTCAGTTTGACCAATCAGAAACAACCTATGGTGATATCCATATCATACACTCCCATCTCCATTTTTAGTTAACAGGAGTAGTGGCATGTGTCTGTGAGCAAGATTGTGAATTTTATCACCAAAAGTGATTTTCAGGTAAGAAAGTTATTTTTTTTATAAAGATTATTTTTTGCCTAGCATTCATTGTAATGTAGATACAATTTTTTGACTTGCATAATCTTAAGTAGCCATTTCTCTAGTTGAATTTGATGCTAGACATTAATGCTAACTTTAAACCCACATGATAAAAGAGTTGGCTATGTAATGGCTGCTTTGGTGGGGATAGTTGTAACAGTTCATTAAAAATGGTCATACACTGACACAAAGCAATTTGTTATAGTGTTAAGTTGAAAGTCCCATAAGAAATACACTACACACACACACACAGAGAAATGTGTTATATTGTTAAGTTTAATGCTCCAACACACACACACCCACACTGACACACACAGAAATATTAGTGTTAAGTTTAAAGTTCCAAAACGAATATAATATACAGACACACACACACACACACACTGACACATACAGAAATTTGCTAGTTTTAAGTTTAAAGTTCCAAAGGAAATACACTACACACACACAAATTTGATAGTGTTGAGATGAAAGTTCTAACAAACTACAACACACACACAGCAATTTGTTATAGTTTTAAGTTTAAAGTTCTAACAAACTACAACACACACACACGTACATAGCGATTTGTTATCGTCTTGAGTTTAAAGTTCCAGAATATTTTACTTATTTTAAATTGTTCATTTTTGTTCTTCAATAAAGTTCTTGGATAATCTGGAAAGTGTGGATATTGTTTCACCAAATTAGCTCTTATTGTTATCCCCAACCCAATTACTACTCTAAACTAGCCTGAAAATAGCCCAATTGCTTTTGAGGTGGTCCCCCAGTAAAAATCGCATTCGGGGGTAAAACATATCTTGGCCGATGTGTTTTTCAGTCAGAAGACTCAGAACTCTTTTCACACAGCATGATTGTGAATCGCCGCATGCCAAATATTTCACGGGCGTTGGCGATTCCCTCAGATCGCGTCTTTAATGGGTAACACTGACTGATTGTCACTCGTGTGTCACTCCGATATCGGGCATTTGTCGGCAATTTTGCAAAACCTGTCGGCGAGTGAAAAATCGGGCTAAAATCGTGCAGTGTGAACTCGGCATGATATTCGCCAATTTCGGTGTCCATATTCATCACCATTACATTTTGTAAGAATAAATAGAGAAGAACGTCAAATTATTTATTTGTTTCTTTAATTTCTGAAATGTTTACGCTTTTCTGAGAAAATACTAAAATTGTCTTAACTTTAGTCCTGTGCCGTGTATTTCTACATTTCAAAATCTTTTTTTTTTAATGGAAATCCTCCTGGCATAATATTTAAGAGAGTGACATGTCTCTGAGTCTTAGGCCTGTTTCATTACACACATATTCATACACAACACATGGTGTAGTCAAGATCTAATCAAACTTTTATAGGCGTTTGGTGTGATGTAATTATATTTTTATTTGGCATTTTCCCACTGACCTTCAACCCCAGGAACAGAGTTGTAAGAATGCATGCAATAAAAGAAAGTAATGATGAGGAGGAATAATGAGGATGTTGAAGATCTGAATGAAGAAGACAGTACATGAAACACATTGGGTTCAGTGGAGTAGGAATGAACACAGAATATTGTAAATGCAAACCTTTTATAAAACAGTTACAATTTACCACCCCGAATGTTTGCTCCTCTTGTAACAGTTGTGATGTGTGTTTATGAACTTCAGACATCCGATTGTCTGAGATGGGTCTCAGAGGATCCACCATCCGCTCCCATTCTACAGTTGATGGCCATTTGCAACTGTGGAAGTTCTTTGGGTTTATGCAGTTATTCTAATGAAATCACATGGAAGCAAAAACACATTTTAGAGCAGGGCACTAATGTTTTACAATAAGATATAAAAAATGTATGATTTTATTGCAAGGCATGCCAAAATGCAACAATACTACAATAGTGGTACATTTATTCCAGAATGATTGTGACTGGGTTGAAATAATGTAGCATTTTAAGTAGAGTAGAGCTGGTAATGGGCTTAGTAAATACAGCTGCAACATATACAAATGGATTTGTACGTGAAAATTGCAGGTACAAAAGGCTCTGTTTCTTGAAAATGACCTGAGTGGTTTAGCCTAACAAATGACCACATGTTCAACAGACACTGAACATCAGCCCACAATTTACAATGTCTTCGGTAAGGAATGGTGCATGAACCTCTGGAGACACGAGGAGTCAAATGTTGGTCAGAAGGACGACACACACCTGAACTCATCAGTCAACACAGAAGAGGTTGGTCTAACATACTGCTTACGTTTTTAAAAAAAAAATACAATGTCAGAATACAGCTGACTAACTCCCTCTGTATTGTCAATAAATTTAGCCAATAAATTTGCTGGATGAAGAACCAGATGTGATTATGATTAACGAGGAGACGCTGAAGGATGACGATTGCTCTAGGAAAAGCAAAAGTAGCAGTTTAAGAGGTTTGTGAAGAGAAACAGCTGCTATTAAAGGGATAGTTCACCCAAAAATGAAAATTTGCTGTTAATTTACTCATCCTCAGGCCATCCAAGATATAGATTAGTTTTTTTTCTTCAGTAGAACAGTAAAAGATTTTGGATGAAGCCATGGTCCTTTGTGATTCATAAAATGCAAATCAATGGCTACCGTCAGTTGAGAGTCAAAAAGAGCATATCAGGGAACACAATCGCGGCTCATGATGATACATTGAGGTCTTATGAAGCAAAACGATTGGTTTGTGCAAGAAACTGAACAGTATTTACAACACTATTACCTGTAATCCACAGCCTCAGGCAAAAGGTCTGGAGTGAAGTCTGGTTCGCGAACGAATCATTCTTTAGTACTGGTTCACCAAATCAGACTGAACCATTTGAAACAGTTCTTGGCTCGAGCAGCCCAGATCTACAATTCACTCAACCAAAACTCACTTTCGGACGTGCCTTAGAGTCAGTCACCGACTCGAGCCAAAATACCGGCGTATATGATCCTATGATGCTGATTTCTGCCATTTCAGTGCTCCAGTTCCTCCAACAGTCACTAAACTGAGGAAACGGTACAGACTTATACTGAAGACTGATGAGCTGGTGGTGATATGCGCATGCGTGAACAGAGTACTTGAATGAAGAAGTGAAATGTAAGTTTTAATGGTTTCTCATTGTTTATATAAAACGGTATGTTGATTAAGACTAGTCTATTCACTTGTTAGACTTCCCTGTTTGTCTGAGGCTATGGATTACATGTAATACTGTTGTAAATAATATTTAGCTTTTTGCACAGATCAGTCGTTTTGCTTAAGATCTCAATAAGGCCCATAATAGAGGTCAGGAGCAGTGGGTATTCATTTTTTGTTCCCTTATATATGCCTTTTTTGACTCTCAAAGTGACAGTAGCCATTGACTTCGTATTTTATGAATCACCAAGGACCACGGTTTCAGCTAAAAAAAAACGTACTGTTCTACCAAAGAAAAAAGGACCTCTACATCTTAGATGGCCTGAGGGTGAGTAAATTAACAGCAGATTTTAATTTTGGGGTGAACTACCCTTTTAACAGTTTTTTATATTCCGATGTTCATTGTGTCATTTATTGAATTACAGGACCTGCAATGACCAGTGATGAGAGATGTGTCACCCAAAGATCTGATAATTTTATCACATACACCATACCTTCAGATGACCAAGTACACCAGACACAAGCTGAAGAACAACCTCTGGATGGAATGATCTCTACACAAGGAGACAGCACAACATGGTCAGATTTGAGCCCTGATGTTGGATTTATTCCTTATAACCTGAATTTCAATGAGACAGTTACACCAAAGAAGAAATTCAAGTGTGTGTTCTGTGGGAAAACCTTTGAGTATTTAAGCCATATGACAAAACACATGCGAAAACACTCTGGAGAAAAACCTTACGTCTGTACAGTTTGTGGTAAACGGTTTGCTCAGAAAACATATCTCACAACTCACGAGCGCACTCATTCTGGCGAGAGGCCGTACGCGTGCATGGAGTGTGGAAAGAGCTTTTCTCAAAAATCTTCTCTTAATGTACACCTCCGAAGCCACACTGGAGAAAAGCCATATAGCTGCTCACACTGTGGTAAAAGCTACGCCTTCAAAATTGCTCTTAAATCACACCGATGTTAGAATAAAAACAAATTGCTACTGAATATTGTCTACTTAGTTTTAGCATGAAACTTCTGTCTAGGTCATTATAGAATATCCTTGTTCTGTTGTTATAAAATAAATGTTAAAAAATGGGAAGAAGTCAAGAGTAGATGAAAATGCTGATATGCTCACTAACACTAAACAGTCTCCTATAGTAATTTCCACTGATTACAGGCAATATGTAATTGTTCAACCACCGTGAACACTGCAATGTGTTTTTTTGTCAACTAGTTTCTGATACTTTGGAGATTTGTTCTTGCTGTACATTTTTGATAGCTAACCTTGATCACTTGATATTTTTTACTTTTATCTTTTGTCCTCCCTGAAATATTTTACATTGCACCATTGTTTTATCTACTTAACTGTTTTCTAAATAAAATATTATATTTTTGTATCAATCTCATTTTTTTTTTTTTTACAAATAAGTAGTATTTTTTTAATACTCGAAAAGATCATTAAATGTTTAAGCATATTTATATTAATCAGCATATTAATCTAGAAACATCCTTCATATGAAGCAGTTGTCTTTTACAATAAAATTCACATTAGATTTTTTATTTTATTCTATTCTCATACATTTTAAAGACCTCACATTATTTTCATCCAGTTGGACCATGTGGTTTAAACGTTACGTTAAATTAAAAATTTTCAACAGATTTTATTACTGTGCGTTTATAAAGTATCGACATCTATATTTAAATTGCATGTTTGAGGCAGGATAACCAATCAGCGAACTTTAATTCTTGTCCAATTTATTACAATTCTTTATCATACAGTCTGCATACAGTTGTGATTTTTTTTTTAGTTGGTCAACATAAAGCAGAATAGACATTTTCAATGAATTTGTGTGTGTGTGTTAGTCTAGTCCCTTTGTATTGAGAAGTCGAATGGAATGTGCAAAGAAACTGTTACACTTTGGCTGTGAGGGCCCAAATGCTTCGGTACATTTTTCCAGATGGCAGGAGGGTGAAGAGTGTGCGTGTGATTGGCCACTATGACTTTGCGGATGCAGCGTGTTGTGTAAATGTTCATGATGGAGGGAAGAAAGACCCCGATGATCTTCTCAGCTGTCCTAACTATCTGCTGAAGGGTCTTGCGTTCCGAGCCAGTGCAATTGGCAAACCAGGCGGTGATGCAGCTGCTCAGGATCCTCTCAATGGTCCCTCTGTAGAACATGGTGAGGATGGATGGTGGGAGCTGGGCTTTCCTCAGGTTTCTCAGGAAGCAGAGACGCTGCTGGGCTTTCTTTGGAATGGAGCTGGTGTTGAGGGACCAGGTAAGGTTCTCCGCCAGGTGAACACTAAGGAATTTGGTGTTCTTGATGATCTCCACGGAGGAGCTGTTGATGTTCAGCAGGGAGTGATGATCACACTGTGTCTTCCTGAAATCCACAGCCATCTCTTATGTTTTGTCCACATTCAGAGACAGGTTGTTGGTTTTGCACTAGTCTGTTAACCTAATGCTGGCACGTCATTCTTACTGATGACACCCACCGCTGTCGAACTTGATGTGATTCGAACTGTGCTTTGCTGCTTAAGAACAGAGAATGGACATTTAATGTCAAATACACCTTTAAAATTTAAACATTAAAAAGTGCTATGTACTTCTCAAATAAAAGACATTTCAACAACAAAAAATTAGAACAAAAAATATAATTGAAAACGTATAATTGTACGTACAATTGTAATAGAAATAATAAACGGCATATAATTTTCAACTTTCGAAATTATTATTATTATAATTATCACTCATGACAAGAAGAGTTCATTTTGGTCCCCTGCTTTCATTACATTTGATCAAAAAAGTCTTTATGTCTTCAGTGAGTAAAAAAACTAACTTAACAGATCTCTGGAATCTTGCACATTCTGAATGATATTTTGTCTCTACAAAAGGTGACATGAAAAATGCATAACCCACATTATCTCAACTTTGACAAAGTCAATAACAAACTTAAAATGCTCTAGAGTAAGATAACATACACCCACAAACGAGAACTGTAATCGAACAAAGCATTAAATATATTAAAAATAATAAATTCTAAACATAAAGTGGCTTCATCGCAAAGCCCATTTACAACATCTAATCTAAAACGTAATGGAACTGTCAACAGAAAAATACTGAAAACAGTAAAAGATGACAACAATTTTAACCTTCAGCAGTAAAATGTGAAAGACATGCACGTAATCGATATTTACAAGATAACCGTTTAACTTAATGTATCCTCCTGAGAACCAGAAAAAAGTTTTGTGGATTGTGTTGTTTGTTTGTCATTACATTGGTTGGAGCATAAGGAACAAATGGAGAAAAAAAATGCATTTTTGAAAAAGTATATTTTATTCATATTTTGTTCTATGTGGACACCAAGTTATTAAAAAATAAAATAATAAATATAAAAATAAATAAATAGTAGACAGAAGGCATGTATAGGCAAAAACTACGTTTTATATTTTCATTCACCAATCAGTTTTTAGGTTTCAGGCTATTTTTAGCCAAACTTTATACAAAGATGATTCTCAACTATGTTATGAAAGATATAACAGAATGATTTGATATACTACTGTACTTTATGGAATATGTGCGTAAAATGTCCATAAATTGGTGTTCCCATTCTATACAATGTATCTGCAATGCATCAAATTTGCTTTTGAATGTGTTCTTGGGGCAAACCATAATGAAAAAACAAGTGTAATAATGGGAGTAATAACTTGGCAACATTTTCTTAACAATATGTCATATTTCATAGGAATATTGCTCTATAATTTTTTCCCCTATTGACTTCTTGTGTTTCCCCAAAATGCCTGATTAACATGATGTTTGTCCGGGTGTCCTCTACAGAAGACATGTATGAAAATTACGCCCCGTTTCGTAAAACAAAAAGTCATATTCAGATCCGATTTGAAACCCAATAACATTTTGTTATTTTGTTTGGAGATGTTTATTCACGACAAACAATTAGAAAATTAGTCCGATTTAAATGATAATGACAAAACATCATATGTCCCTAAGAGTGCTAAATTTGTTCATTCTGTCAGTATCAGTCATATTTAAAGACCAAGGAGAGGGAGTCTTTATGATCATAAAACCTCCAAACATTTGATATTTCTAAAAAGCCCAGAGTGCTCTGTACAGGACATCCAGACTTAAAACTGTGGCATGTATGGTCTCAAAAGAAATCCACTCAGATAGAATGTCCTCTACAGAGGACAAAATCTATGCCTGGGTCCCAGGAGGATATGAATTAATAGTTTCTTGCTCTCCGCCATTAACTTGCTCCGCCCACCACTTCCGGCCTGGGGCTGCGGCTGGATACTATTGGGACTTTAAAAAGGTTTTGTTTAGGAGAACCAAGCATTCCTCAAGTAAACCGACATACCGGGTGAACTATCGAATAGAAACATCTACACGGTGGTTTACGGTAATTCATCCCATGATTCTTTTCAGCCAAACGCTATGCTTTGTTTATGTCTACATAAACACCAACGGTAACACAACGCCATTGTTTGTTTGAGGTAGAAATAAACATATATATAAAGATATAAACAGAGCTGTCGGGTCGAAGGGCGAGTATTTATATCTTTAAAGTGTACCGTAAAAGATGGACATCATGAATACCGCCGAATTTCAGACGCAGTTAACGTCCATAATGGAAACGTTAGCGAAAACAGCTGTTGTGGAAATAAGCAGACTTTTCGAGGAGAACGCATCCTTTCTGCGACTAGAGATTTCGCGATTTACAAGCAAAAATGAATCTCTGAAAAAGAAATGTCATTTTTTGGAGAATGAACTTGAGCGGAAAAGCGCTGCAAAGGTGAAAGGGACAGAAGCTCCATCCAGCCATCCGGGACTTACAGGTAATAGTCAAGTATTTCCTCTTTTCACACGCACAAATCGGCATCTGTAGATATGCTGATGTCAAATGCAAAAAGTGGCGTTAAAGGACTAATATGTTTAAAGTTGGAGATTCAAGCCCCCACGTTGTGCCTCTGACTCTATACCCACCTAATGCCCACATGTTCAACAGACACTGGACATCGTCCTGCAATTGACAATGTCTTCGGTAAGGAATGGTGCATGAACCTCTGGAGACACGAGGAGTCAAATGTTGGTGAGCAGGAGGACACACATCTGGACTCTTCAGTCATCATAGGAGAGGTTGGTCTCACATACTGCTGTTTTAAGTATGTGGAGTTCTCCTATAAACAATGTCAGAATACAGCTTACTAGTTTTCGGTTTTGTTTTCAATCCTTTAGCCAGTAAACTTACTGGAAGAAGAACCGGACATGATCATGATCAAGGAGGAGGCATTTGAAGATTACTCTTCGGGAAGAAATGAGGAAGACCAAGATAACCACACTGTGAAAGGTGTGCAGAGAGAGAAGTTCATTTATTAGTTTGTCTTGTGTAGTTAGTTGGTCATCACAATTATGATCACATACAGTGTAGACGTATGTGCATTTTATATGTAATAGTAGTATAGTAGTAAATAGCTGTACTATTATGAAACCCTACTGTTGTAGACTGCAAAAGTTGTGGCTCTTGGAAAGATAACATCAAAGATAACATGTATTTATTATTATTATTTTTTTAAATGTGCAGAATGGATTTAAATGTGTTAGATGAGAGTCCTACATTCTTACCAGTAGCTGAAAATCATATCCAAAAAAATTAATAAATGCAAGTGTCAGATGATGTGTATAACACATGGGAAATAACAGATGCAACTCAAAAATGAAATCCAAAACGATGGTTTAAATGTAACCTGAATTATTTTAAAACCAGTTTAATTTAAATGACGCTTGGTTTAAGCTTAGTCCTTATTGTTGCAGCCTACCCTCATCGTGTGCTCTTTTCAACCCCCTACAGGTGCAATCCAAGAGGAAATAAAAAACATTCTCCCAGAGTTGGACTTAAACAAACTTCAGGATGTGGTCAGTCATCTTTCTTTAGTAGTGGGTGTGGAGAAGACAGAGGACCTCTCCCTTGTAGAGGTGTCAGATCTTCAGGACTTTCTGGAGCCAATACAGTGTCGAAAACTTGTGAAAACATTCAGACAAAAAGGTAAGAAACAAACTTAAGGCAGAAAAACAGGCAGCGTTCACTATTACCCCTT